CTTAGAGCTCATTGGCGACCTTTGCAACTTTATATTGGACCAGATTGTATACGTCAAAGTCACCTACCATGACCGAGATTCTGACTTAGGTAGAAATCCTTAGTACCAACACATTCGTGAGACTAAAAGGCTAGCTCTAAACCGTTGATAACAATGTGTATGAAATTTGACATTAGTCTTACCTTCGTGAGAGCTGCTGCGCCACTGTCGCCCCGTTCACCCAGTGCACCGTGTGCCGGAGAGAGGGAGGGAGTAGTAGAGCGAATTAGTCTTGTGAATTATGTCTATTTAACGATGAATTGTATATATTCTTGTGAATTGGACTTATAATTGTAGTTTGTATAATACTCTTGCGCTTGTGGTCATATTTGAATTATATATATATATATATATATATATATATATATATATATATATATTTTATATATATATATATATATGTTTCTAGACTGAACCGATTTATAATTGTAAATTTAAATTTTTTACGGAAAAATATACTATAGAGATTTTATTATAGACCGAACGCTCATACCAATTTATTTATAGAACGGTCTATATAAATCAGCGATTTAGGCTATATACTATAGCCGTCCCTACAAAAACCATCCCTATAAATACCTATGAGCCGCACCTACAAAAGTCTATCTTTAGGCCCTGTTTGGTTGGGCTTCGATTTATAGGGACGGTCTAGGAAACATCCCTATAAATCGACGATTTGTAACCACACTTTGGTAGAGCCGGTTGAACAAAAACCATCCCTATAAATACCTATGAGCCGCACCTACAAAGGCTATCTTTAGTAATGAGGGAGTCATAGAGCTCCTTGAGCTGCCGGCTGCGGTGCAGCGCCGCCCGGCCATAGAGCTCCGGCCGGCCCCTGCCCCCGCCGTCTCCTCCTCGTCAGCGCCCTCCCCGCCCGGCTGATGCACCGTCGTCTTGCGCGTCCTGATGGCGCCGTTGTAGTGGCCCTCCGCCCATACCAGCGCGCTGCGCAGGCAGCGCCATGCATGCATGATCAGATCAGATCGATAAAAAAATCTCGGCTGGTGACAGCACGGTCGAAGGGACGGTCGAGCAAGAAGCAAGAAAGAAGCGTACCCTTGGCGCGGGCAGAGGCGCCAGAGGAGGCTGTACGTCCACCCCGTGCTCTGCGCCACCGACTGCAGCGCCTTCTGCACGGCCTCGCCTCCGCCGCCGGCCGCCGCCGTGGCTGGGATGTGGCTACCTGCTGCTGTGTGCTGCTTCGATTCGTTCAGTGATCTGAGCTAGATCGAGCGAGACTGCGATGCGAGTTGGTGAGGGTTTGAGGCTTTAATTTGAGGAAGGGAAGGGGAAGGCAGTGAGTGACGCAGTGTGTCGTTGACTGGTGGCTGGGCACCAGACGGCCGGCTCCGCGCGCGCGCGAACTCATGCACCTGATCGCGAGGGTACGTGGGGTGGGGTGCAGCCATTGTAGATTTGTAGTTGTAGCAAAAACGAGCGACCAGCGATCGATAGCGACGAGGTAGACAGATCGAGTAGGGAGTAGTAGTACATGTGACAGGATTTATTTGGTTGGGTCGGTTGTCTTGTTTATTAGATTAGACTTTCCCTCCTCGCATCCCAAAAGTCGGTAGTCGGCATTCAATGCCTGCCCCCACCAAATGACCGTTCTACCCCCATTCTTTTTTGGGAATTCAAGAGGCGGGGATGCGACGATTGCGGAGGGAAGGCCAAAACGAGGCACTGCCAATGATTTACTGTGGTTGTGGTTGATTTATTGTGAGAGAAAAATATTATTTTTATAGCTGAAAAGTAGAATTGATTTTGACTAATAAGCTCAAGCGAACATGGTCAAGGGAGGGCGAACGATAGGTCTGGCCGAGCAACTTCACTAGATCTCTTTTTCTTTTTTTTTAAAAAAAAATCTACTTTAAAAGATTAAGAAGTTTTGAATTCTAAAATACAGGAGACATGTGTTCTAACAGACCAGTTTGGCAAAGCTTCTGCAACAGTTTCCAGATTGATTCTAGAAGAAGCTCTGTCAAATAGTTTTTTATTGAGAAGTGATTCTTCGTTGATTCTGTGAAGTGATTCTCTTAAATGAACTAGGAGGTTGAGAGCTGGAAAAAAATAGCTTATCCTAATTCACTTCATGCCTAGAATCACCGTATGCATAGTGTTTATCCTAGAGAATTAATTTCAATAAGAGAATCACTTCACACATAGAATTAGCTTTCACAAAGAATATAGAGCAGGAGGAGCTCTACAAAACTATCCCAAACCCCTATCAAATACATTTTCCTCCGGAAGTGATTCTTCAAGTGATTTTGAGTGATTGTCTTAAGTCAAATATTTTAAACTTTGACTAAAAATAACATCTTTAATTGAGTTTGAAAATATCAAAGTGATGTAAGTAGATTCATCTAGAAATGTAGTTTCATAAAAGATATATATTGACTATATTTTATAAATATTTTATAGCAAAAGCTTTCACAAAGTCGTTTCTTAAAGAGCAGTAGGAGATGTACAAAACTATTTGCTTTAGGTCCCCTTAGAGATAGGATCCATCTATTAGTGACAAAAAAAAAATCTCTTCCACCCTTCTCTCCTTACTTTCTCTTCTGACGATACTAGAGGCATGCATCAGCGGCGGCCTGCCCAGCACAAACCTGTGGGTTGTGGTAGCCTGACAGGCGTAGGGCTCGCCTGCCCAGCGCGGGGCTGCGGCAGCGGCGGCCTGCCCAGTGCAAAGTTGTGGGCTGTGGTAGCCTGACCGGCATAGGGCTGCGGCAACTGCTCGCCTGCCAAGCGGAGCTCGGTGCGGCGGAGAGCAGCGCGGCACTCGGCGTGGTGCAGTGTAACATGGGGCCCATATGCCAGTGACGGAGAAGGTAAGAGAGGGGATTGAGAAAAATTACTACCAGATCCCCTCTAGAGGGAAAGAGAGGAGATTTCGAGGGATTGAAATTTTTTGAAAAAATAGATTTACTGGAGCTGTGTTTTTGCACCTCAATCCCTTTTTTGTAAGAATATAGGGAAATGGGGTCTCTTTTCTCAATCTGATGGAGTTTCTCTTCGGGGTCCAAGTGAACAAAAGGAGAATGGAACGAGATAAATCATATCGAGCAGCCATAATACCCCTTCATATCCTTATAACTAGGGGCTATGGTGCTTTTTTCTTGTTTTAGCGGTCTTCTTTTTTTGGTCACCAATTTTTCTTATCACCCCTCGAATAAAGGGAGAGTTATATCTCTCCCAATAGCATGTGGCATATTCCAACCATCACTTTTTAGCTATTTTTTTATTACACACCTATGGTCCATCTTTTGTGTAGGTATTAGGAGGGATACATTGGGGGCACTGCTGAACCAACTCTTCTAATATTCAGAAAAACAATATTATTAAGCTACCCCAATATATACAGTCTGTTCGTTTGGCTGTGGCTTGTCGTAAACGATCGTAAATTTTTAGCCGGAACAGTATTTTTCTCTCACACAAACCAGCAAGCAGTACTTCTTTACGAACCAGCCAACTAAACACGCTGATAGATTTGGCGAACTAATCATAGATCAGTTGGTTAGGTTCCTTGTAATGGAATCTGGCAATCCGGGTTGAAGTTCTCGCCTTAGCAAAGGTGCTCGTATTTTCCTAGATTTATTCTAGGATTTAACGGCGCTATACTTTCAGTGGTAAGCGACGTCCCCGTTAACATCGAGGTGCCCCTTCGGAGGTGCTCGTAGGGATATAGTTTGTGTACGTGTATCTATAGGGGGTGAGTGTGCGTGCGTATTGCGGAAGTCTACGTTGTACTTCGTGATTCTCAAAAAATATATATAGATATTGGGGGACAGATTAGTTTTGAAAACTGGTGGACATGCGCTACGGGCAAAAGATGATCTTCTATCGTCAAGTGGACATTCATTGGCAGACCTCAAAACATACGTGGAAGTCTGACGGGCCGTATTTTTCATAACTATATGGCTTCTGGAATAGCACTGGGGCAGTGATGTTTGATGTTTCTTTGCAATAGTAAGGATGTTTATTGTACCCAATGCATGGCTCTCTTGTGGTACCAAGCTATGACCTGTTCGCTTAGCGGATAAGCTATGGCTGAAAGTATCGTTGGCCGATTTGTTGTGAGAAAAAAATACTGTTTGTTGATTGAAAAAATACGGCTTATAAGCTGTGTTGTCCTTGAGACACCTTTTGCAAGGTCTGGCATCGTTTTCTACTTTTCTTAACGATCTTGCAGGGAAAGCCCATCTCCTACTATGACTACGTACTACCACTGTAGCTCCAACTACTTGCAGTGCCTTTCCCTTGAGAGGAAAGGAGATTGATGTGCACCGCACCTATAGCTGCTCCTGGGAACGTGCGAGGCCCTAATTCTGGGGCTGCACAAAGGAGTAAAAGGACCAGGACTTGTTTCCACCCTCATCCTTCCATCCTGGGGATACAGGGGGTGCACCACTAGATTCTACTACCCCTCCCCTCCCCTTCGCAGCATTTGTTTCCACAGCATTCCATTTCTGTCAAGCAGGCAATTGGTGCCTTCTGAGCCCCAACCAACCTGTGCACAAACTGAAACCAAGCAACTGGACTGCATGCGTTCCATTTCTGTCGTCAGGCAGTTTTTGCTTGCCTCCATCTTGCAGTTGGACTTCAATTTGGATGCACATTCTACAGCAAGGTAAAAGTGATGTGATATTCATGCAGGCCAACAAAGCATTATCTGCTAGGCTGGTTGGCATACAAGCTGGGTTTATTCCTTGTTATTATGGTTGCCTCCGAGCAGAAAGCATATGTATATATATAGTAGATAGACTCTAAAAGCATGCACCAGATTACAACACGGTATGCACTCTGCTCCTCTACCAATTTACAGATGATTTCTGGGCGGTTCATGCGAACACATCACATCTCACTAAGAAACAGAACGGGTGGAGCAAAACTTGGGAGCTATAAGCAGCCAGGAAGATGATTCATGGAGAGAAGGTGGTGGTCTCGAATCTGACATATCATTTGGCGATACAAAGGTCTGTTCTCAGAATGTCAAAATCTACAAATATCACGGATGTGTTGTCCTTGGTTCGCAAATTCCTAGCTTCGTTCAATACACGGTTGGCTACTTTAGCCGCTGAGGTGCTGTCACCAGAGTTCCTCTCCTTTCCCTGCACATTGTGAAATGTGAAGGCAAGCAACGATAAAGACTACTGCAGCTGCAGAACAATGACAAGAAAAAACAGTCGTAAGATCTTTTACCTCAACAACAAGCTGTACCGCCTTTTTAGTGCTGATGACATCCCAGAGCCCATCACTGCGTATATCATATAAAAAAAACCTGACTAGTCAGCAGATGGTTGCATTATAACAGTAGCATTACCTTGCTAGCATTAGGAAAACACAAGTTACCTAGCAATAATGGCAAAAGCGGTGCATGCTTTGGTGATACGAACAGCTTGGCTCACATATGGTTCTGAGCTGAAGCGTGAGTCTTGCTCCTTAAGAAATTTGTCTCCAAACATCCTAGCAAGATTTAGTCCTGTTGAAACAACCAACATTGATTACGCCTCCACCGTAAATGGGAAAAGAATTCAATGGAAACGGAGCAAAATATCATACCATTAAGACGAACTTCCCCATCTTTCAGGGGCTGCCCAGTTCTTGCTATCCTAGCTCTTTCAGTTGCACTAGCTACTCGATGATCTTCAGTCATATCAATCGTCTTTCCATTGACACTGAAAAAGTTTAGGTTGTCATGGGGCTCGGAAACATGTTACTAACAATGTTTTCTTTTTATGGATTGTTTTTTTGGCAACTCTACACCATACAGGATGTTAGCAGGAAAAACTAACATATCAGCTGGCTTGTTTATATTTAATAAAAAATCTCTGCATGGCTTAGGCAAACCCCTTACCTCATTACACAAGCAGAATCGCCAAGATTAGCACACTGGGCAAAACAATCTTTATTCTGATCAAACCAAATAAGAAGTGCTGTGCCTGTACATCCCTGAGAAGGGACAAATAAAAACCGTAAGCCTTAACAGTTTGTATCAAGGTAATTCAAGGGAAGAGTATGCAACTACTACTCGGCAAAGTAACACAAATGACTAAGGCATATAAGAGGACTCCGATTAGACTACAAATTTTCAGAAGCAAACAACCATTGCTATTTCTGGGTAGGCATTCAGACCAAGGGAGGATTCTTACAATATATGATAGTAGGGTACATGCTTACATAACAAGATCTCAAATCTGGGAGCAAAGCTACCTAGAAATCTGTGTCCTAAAGATGAATTCATTTCAGTAAAAAGGTTGGAAACCAGAGAAACCATTTCAATTAGGACCAAAACAACTTAATAATGTGTACTCAAGAGATGGGATCAGCAATCAGACAAACTGTGTCATGAATTGTGACCCCAACAGAAAAATAATTGTTGACATCACTACAGCAGTAAGATTTCTTGATAAGCCTGATATATAAAACATGGAAATATATAACGTAGATTAAGTCAAGAGGGGCAGCTCTAAAATACTAAATATCACAGCCTTGCAAGTTGCAAACACATAAACAAACCTTTCACAAAATATAAAATTCACTAAGGTAATAGGAAGATAAGTCTGAACTAAAACTTCAACAATAGCATCTGACACATGACAACTAGAGAAAGGGTGAACCTCATACTGATGATCGATTGCGTCTTCTGTCAAAGTAAAAGCATATCTAAGAACATCAGAAGCGTCAGAACATGATTGCACTCGTTCTTTTGTTTCAGGATGAGACAAAATGTATCCCAGATTTTCTGGAAGAATCCTACAAATTGAAAGGGTATCAGTTTTGCATGGTGAGATTAAAATATCAAATTATTAAAAATAAAATATATGTGCTGGTTCATTTGGAGTTAATGAATACAAGAAAATCCCCAGATACTAGGATAAAGTGATAAACTGATGCCATGCAATGCATAGTCATGCATCAAAGAAGCACAAATGACTAACTTGCTGACAGCTTTGGCAGCTCCATCCCCACCATGTCCATCAAAAATACCAAAGAGCCCAAACTGCAACAAAATCAGGCATAAGAAAAAATAAAGAATAAAGAATTTGGAAGAACTATCTGATTACTGACATGTTCAACACCCTGCAGAGGACACTGGCAAAAGCTTATGTCTTCCATTGGAAGTTTCCTTCCACTTCTACGTGCCACCATTGGATCGGATGCCATACCAACACCAGCAGGAACTCGTTGATTTTGCAGTGAAATTTGAACCTTCAGAGGTAGAAACACAATTGATTTTTTTTCAAAAAAAGACAAACTATTGAACAATTGCTATGATGCTCAAAGTAAGCTGAATTTGGACCAGAAACTTTAAGACCAAATAACATGTGTATACTTCAAATCATGAATTTGGACCAGATGAACAGAAATCATTGGACATTGTGGTGGTTGCAGTGTTTCAACCAGCCCTCAACAAAGTTAGCCGAATGAAGCAAGAATCCATACAAACAATGATGATCAAGCATCACTTAGCAACCCAGTAAGCCAGCAGCTAGCATTCATTCAATGTTCTAAAACAGTCGCCTAGCCCCCACACAGGTGCTAGGCTACACAACCCACCCACACCCATCCTAGTACCACGTGACAGCTTAAGTGGCAGCATGCCTCCTGCAAAGCTTTTTAGAACACTAGCTTTAACAACTATTCAATTTGTAGACAATATTGTTGACAGTTGACACTAGAAATAAACCATTCATTATTATTTCTCCAATAAAAACACACTAGACGAACTTTTCCCCTACTTATCGTCAGATGTGTGGAAATTCAATGGGCAATATATGACAATAAGTGGTCTACAGATCCACATGGGTTTGCAACAACAGAAGGGAACACCAGAATCATGATTTTGAGGACCAAACCCTTCTTAGCAAAAATGAACTCATATGCAAAGATTAAGCTTATATACCAAAACTAGCCATAAGAGATTTATGGCACATCATATGGAATGAAAGTGGAAGAGCACACCCAGAAGCATGAAAAGAAAATGTAAATAACTATATTCCATACATTCATCAGCTATTCATGTGCTTTAGGGAATAGGCTTTAGATCCCTCATGATATCACTAATTCACTATTTTGATGCTGTTTTTATTTTATTTTCACTTTATTTTCCCTTCTTTTTGGTAAGTCATGTTGGATTTGATCTCTAGCCTATCCCAAGTTGCTTGAAACTAAAAGGTTTTGCTCTTCTTGTATGTTCCATACAATCGGATTTGGTGAATGGAGTTCAGTAGTTTATAATGAGTAGTAGGACACAGAGTCTGTAATTTTTTATATTCAGTTTGAACTAAATGTATGAGATTATAATGGCCATGTAAACCTACAAAAGATGAAGTGTTTCAGATTAAGACTTGTGAAGATATCAAGCATAAGGATCAAGACTTAGGATTTGGTATGAGCATATGAAACCAATTCTAGAAACATATCAACTCTGATCAATTACAAAGGATTCAGACTTCTATAACTATAAGACATACAATACAAGTTCAGTAGACTGTATAGTTGAACTACTAAAAAAAAGGGCGTACCCAGTGCAGAGAGCTCCCGCTCTGTGTGGGGTCTGGGGAAGGGTGTCAGTGGCAAGCCTTACCCTCGCCTGTGCAATGCGAGGAGACCGCGACTCGAACCCGGGACCTTCCGGTCACAGGCGGTAAGACTCTACCGCTTGCACCAGGCCCGCCCACTAAAAGATCCATAAAATATTTTACCAAGTTTGGAAGAAACTAGACATGCTGGAAGAATATTATGAACTTACAGATAGTTTAGATGAAGTCCCTAGAGTTATAATATCACCATGTGCAAGTTCAGCAGGTTCACCCCAACGCCTAGACTGAGCATCTGGATGGTGAACCGACTGGGAGTTCAAGAAAGTTCCATTCAAGCTGCCCATGTCCACAAGTTCCCATTTTAATGTCTGCAATATTGGATATACCAATTATCACTGTTTCGGAGGTAAGGAAGAATTTTAAATTGTACTGCAGCACATAACTAGATGAGCGAAAGCATCTCAAAGACTGTAACATAAACTACAGATTTGGTCAATACAGTCGACAACCAGATAACATTTAGAGGCTCTACCCTACACAGTTTTCTAGTGAGCCAATTATCAAGCTTTATCCAGTATGTTTCTGCTCACAAATAAGCAGCTAATGATATGATGGTGCTGACAAAAGTAAGCATGACTAACCTTGCAGGAACAGTTTCTGCCATGGCATTTTAAATTATTAGGTTTGAAACATGTACCCGTAGCATCCACACTCACAATATAGAGTTTTTGAGTAATAATTTTGGACAAAACATACACCTCAATTTTTATGATCACAAACATACATAATGGTACTGCTAAGGTTGATCGATAGCATCACTTATTCAGTTTTCAAAGCTAAAAGTACAGAGAAGCAAACATTTCAAATCACATTAAATTGAAAGTACAATAGAAACATAAATAGTTCTTGAACAACTTACCTTTGCATTCCAGTTTATCTGAGCATGTTTCCCTGATACTTCAGAGTCCTTGAACACTAAATCACTAGGGGGAACCCTTCCAAGAGTTATTGGGAGCATAGAAGGTCTACTTGACTGCCGAGAACAGCTTATTCCATGAGATGGACCAGCTATGACCTCTAAATTCAGGATGCTATCTGCACTTCTAACAAAAGATTGGATGAAATGGGCATATAAGTGCCAACCTTTGCAAGCAATGGACTATTAGAATGTCCAGGTCAAGTTTGAAGGATAGCTTACGATATGTATTATCCTTCAGAGAAACACTTCCATTATGATTATCCTCTCCAGAAACCCTTCTTCTGTGCTTCTGATCAGGTGTTGGCCATTTTGGTGGTGGTGTACGTTTTAGTGTGCTTCCTAATTGAAACTCTTCAGAAGTATCATTTTCAACATTGATTACATGAGTTTCTCCTACAAAATCAGTAGAGATTATCAGTAAATGGAAAATTGTAAATCCATAATTGGAGCAATCCAACAAAGACGAGAACATAGCTGATACTCCAACAAGGCTACTAAATGGTTGGGTATGATTATGCATACCTTGTGTAGCACAACATTCAGCAGGATAAATCCTCCCTGTATCAGTAATTGCATGGCTTCTAGGCGAAGTGTTACTCCTATTTGTTTGAATCTTCGAAGGTTCTCCTACAGAACTTCCGAGAAAACTATTACTCTGTCTAGAGTGATCGCCCCGATTTTCAGAAAGAAGAGGCCTATCTATATCCTCATCCTGCAAGTAGAGAGTGTAAAGCATTGAGACACCAATACAAGTACATCCACGTTGCAATTAAAGAAAAGAAGAGCTTGATGTAGATCGTGTAGTGGAAATGCCTCAGTGCACAATTACATTTCGTTATAACTAGTTATCATAAGCATTCCATGAAAGGCAAAGGTCAATTGATGTGGCTACCACTCCACAGAAATTATTAAGGAAAGTGCCAAGTCTATGTCTAAGAACATGGATCATTGAATTAGTTTGGGCAACCCTTATGTCATGACTTTCGACACAATTTTTTTTCTTTTTTTCTTTTTCTTTTTCTTTTTTACTTTTATGACTGATCTGCTTGTGTGAGGAAATGAGTTACTGACAATAACCAAAGCTCCTGCACAAAAACATTGGAATGAAGAAAGCCCAAATTTAATATTTCTTTCAGATTCCTTATAAAATTAAGTGCCATTGCCTAGGCCACAGCATCCAGCATGTTCTCATGCATGTAACAGCTCTGAGAGAGAAAAATCAGCTCAGATTTCTTATCAGGGAGTAGATGTTTTTTGTCCGCTTGGGAGCTAGATACTCATTATTCATCATGATCCATCAACTAAGGAAATAATAAGCAATCATTTGATATCATGATCACTGAACAACAAAATGCAACAACAATACTTTTCTCCCACTGCTGGCCAATTCATAGCGATTGATACCAACGTAAGCAGCAACGACAGCCTAATCAACCTTAAGCATGTCTCAACTACTACAGTGGCACAAATCAAACAGCCTCAAACCATCAATGCAATACTATTTATCTACAAGACTACAAGAAACAAGCCAACGGCCAAAAACAACTAGAGATGGACCTCAACACCGTATGAATTAGAATCCCAACGTTTGAAGAAATCACACAAAGAAGACAAAATGTGCCACAGGACAGGCCCAAGAATTCTCCGCTAATGGCGCGGCAGCAAGAACCCCCAATCCCCAATCGACCGGCGATCCCTGTGTATATAGATTCTTCCAAGAAACACCGGGACTAGCGATTCGCGTAAAAAACATGGAGGTTTCGCATCTTGGCGACTCGAGGCAACAAGAAGGCGACAAGAAAGCTTGGATCTTGACCTGGACAGCGACCGGGGTCGGGGCCGCCGCCGCGGTCTGGAGCGGGCGGCGCTGCCGCTGCCGCTGCCCACGCCGCCGCCACCATCGCCGGAAGGCGAAGACGACGAGGACGAGGATGGCGAGCGCGGCTATGGCAGCAGCGGCGACGAACACCAGAGGAGGGGCGGCCATGGAGGGGGGAGAGGGAGAGGGGAGGGGGGGCTAAGATGGCTGCATCGCCATCGCCATTTCTTCGCTGTACGCGTGCGCGTGTGTTAGCTAATCTGTTGTCCGTGGCTTTCTTGGGAGCCTATTTTTGGGAGCCAAAGCATATTTTGGGGGGTTTTTTCGGTTGCTGCACACATGAATCTTGAGCGCCCACACTTTTCTTGTGAGTTTTCTTACTTTTTTGTATCATTTTATATTTTAGAGCAAGTAGCATATAATTACTTGTTATTTTTAGTCTAAGTTTTTTAAGTTAAGGAATAACGGTTCCATAATATTGAGAAATATGGTTTTTCTTTGCTTACCTACTCTTAAAATCTATTTTGTTGCATACACGTTGCCTTAAGAGGACTGCATCATCTCTGATAATAAAAATATATGTCTCATATACATTGTGTTTATAATCTTTCAGTAGCATATAATTAACCCATTTATTTATTTGTCTATTTGTTTATGTAGCATTCTCACTCAAGATCTTTTTAAAAATTCTGTAACAACTAATAGACGAGGTGAGACTTAATTTTTTTTGTAGTGAGATGTACAATTTGATGAATTAAGGCATTAGAGACCATATATTAGAGATGCATAAACCATGAACAAGAGGCTTGATACATAAACATAGAGCCATTATTTTAGTTGTACAATCTTCTTCAAGTGACTGTATTTTTTTATTTTCGTGCTCAAGATTTGTCACTAAATATTGCATAACTTAAATAGACTCACTCCATTTCCTTGACCATGCCTGGTGGAGGTATAAGAGAGGGAAAAATATTAACTCCTTCTAAATGGGTCAGATCCATTTAAAAGAAAAAAAAGTTGGTAAACTGACCATCTGAGACTGAGAGCTCATAGAGCAATGATAATAAGGGGCTGTTAGTATGTTCTATGCTAAAGTGGACAAGAGAGAGGAGGAGATATAAGAGACGTAGGCATTAAGCCAGCTAATGCAGATCAACCAAGAAACTTATGAAGCAACTACTATATGAGTTGGTTGATAATTGAGTTATAAGTATCAGCTAAAAGTTATACTATTAGCCTTTCTCTTAGATAACCTTCTCACTTATGAGTGTCCAAATAATGCTAGATTAGAATGGTTCCATAACTTAGTTGAACTAAATTACATACTTAATGTTTTCCTAAAACTACATATTAGTGGCGAAGGCCTGTTAAAAACAAAATCAATGTTCTTCCAGGTTCTGACATGATGTGTGGAGAAGTACTAGTACTCACTAAATCTCTCTTGCTACTTTATTTTATATATGTAAGAAAAAAAACACAGACAATAAATCAGAGCAAAAGCTAACTTCCCGGAAAATCGATAGGAATAGGACGGTGATATGCAGGACTTTTCTGGGTTGCATGCTACTAGTACTAGTACAGCCTACAGGTCAGGTGCACAGGCGGCGAGCAGGGCCAGCACAAGTCAGCGGAACACCCTGATCTGATGGTCGCCGCCGATTGGGCGGCCGGCCGGATCACGGCGTGGGTGACTGTCCTGCGACTGCATGCCTGTACAATGATTAGCTTTTATAAGCCGTACTAAAAAATTCGGTTGCTGTTCGTCGATGATAAGCAATGACTTATAAACTAAATATAACCGAGCAAACAACGTTGAAAGGCGCGCCTAAAACGAACAGGGCATTGATTGTACTGTAGCTAGTTCAACTCTTCTTGCGCAAAGGCGCGCCTGAAAGGCTGAAACTATCGAATCTTTGGGGAACGATGCGCGTCAACATGAGATGAGACGAGCAGAGGCCAGAGGGGGGACACTGGCAAGGCTAAGGGCACAGATCAACTAGCAAGAAGCAAAGCAAAGCAGAGCAAGCGGCCAGATGAGGAAACAATGGTTGATGGCCAATGCTTAGATTCTACTCCTACTGGAGCCGTCGATTAATTCTCAATTCAGCTCAACCACCTCGATCGGCTTTTATTTCTAGATCATGTCCTGCTGCCACGAGTCTCTTTCCGCATTCATGCAGAAGTGCGACACGGGTTAAGTGAGAGGTGGGAAAGGCAAAGATGGACCCAACAGCCAAAACACAGGCCACGGGTGTGCTCTATACATGTCCATACCCAGTTTTTTTTTAACAAAATTGTGATAGAAAATAATGATCAGGAGGGTCTAATGCTATGTTAACCCTAGAGATACAATTGAAATAGCTTGGGAAGTAAATTGGATAAAACTTTATTTGGATTAAGCAAACAAAGTGGATTGTACCTACATCACACTTTCTCCATTATGTATTGTGCCGTATCCCTCTCAGTCAAGGAGACAAGGACGCACACATGGATAGATTTGGGGAAGAACTAGGGGCTGCGGCAGAGAGTTGGAAGAGCACAGAGGAAAAACAAGAGAAATAGAAATATTTGTCACAAGCACATTTCCAGCCCAGCCCTCTCGCGTCTCGTTTGGTCTCATATGACAAGTACTCGGCCTATAGGCCCATTTCCAGCTTGAGGTAAACCATCACTCCCTCCTAAAACTGTCGAGGTCATCTATTTCTGTCAGCATCACCTGGCCATGCTCAAGCTGTTGTCTCTACGGCTCAAGGAATTGTTTTCCGTTCTTGGACAACAGCAACAGCCTCAATCAGTAGCTAGTACAAAAATTTGACTTAGGAGAACTCTAGAATTGATTTATTCAGAATGAAGGGAGTATCAAAATTCGGTAGAAGAAAGCGGCAAGAAGTAAGCAGGCTTTGTTATCCAATCCACCACCACATTTATGATAGAGTACCCTTTAGATTTGGGAAGAACCTCAATAAAATCCATAGATATATCTAACCAAGAAGACTTAGGAATGTGTAGTGGTTGTAACAGCCCAAGTGACTTATAATATGCTCATAATTCGTTTATTGACAAATCAAACACTATTTGACAAAAATACTCTACTATAGCCTTGACAGCTTTCCAACTGGAAAATTGCTTCAGACTATGCCAAAATAGACCAAGTAAACAGTTGCTATCGCAGAAGATCAATCAAAGGTTTGGCTATAGCCCCATAATTCTTGATAAACTTTTTGTAATACACAAAAAGAACCCTCAATTCATTTACTTTGAGGAGTAGGCCAAGATAACATAGAAGTCATCTTACTTGGATCAGATACCACAGTGCCCTGATCATAAATAGTGTGGCTCATGTACTCAATTTGTGTTTGGGCAAAACAACATTTGCTAGCTTTGGCAAACAACTTATTTCCCATCAAGACCTGAAGAACTTCTCTCAAATGTTGTACATGAGCTATCAATATAGGCTTATATATAGCAAAATATCATCCATGAATGCCATCACAAATTTTCTGAGGAATTCATCAAATATAGAATTCATAAGGCGTTGAAAGGAAGTAGGTGCATTGGTAAGTCCAAAGGGAGTGACTGTGTACTGAATGTGACCATTATGGGTTTTAAATGTTGCTTTGGGTTCATCTACATGGTCCTTCCTTATTTGGTGAAACCCAGACTTCATGTGTAGCTTAGCAAAGAACTTGGTCCCAGCTAAGCTCAAACAAGATCTCATCTATAAGGGGCATAGGGAACTTGTTCTTTATAGTGAGTTCATTTAACTTCCTATAGTACGCACATAAACATATTACAAGAAATCTTGGCTTCTATGACAGTTAGATTATGATGACGACAGACTGTTTCATGTTCCAGACTGCATTCTATGACACTGTAGTGACAATGTGACTGTCGTCACAGGGTGGGTCACTAACCAGCTTCTATGACCACTAGAGGACGTTGTCATAGTTATAGTGACAACAATTCTTCTGTCACTAACTAGTGATAGCTACATCTGTCACTAAACTTATCACAACCTATTGATCATAATAGCGACACGTGTATGATGACATGTCACAACGTATACCATCCTCTTTTGAACAAGGATAGTTGGAAAGGCAAAAGGACTGATACTTCTAGAGATAACGCTTGAGGCCAACATGTTCATAACTTTTATTTCAATCTAATCCTTTTAAAGTAAGATTGTAGTGAGCATGGCCTCTTTGTCAAGCGATGTAGTTGAAGTGTTTTTTCTGTATTCTTCAACTATATATATATATATATATATATATATATATATATATGAGCTTGTCTAAGAGTCAATTGTAGTGAGCATGGCCCCTTTGTCATGTCCTTATTAGTTTTGGTGATTGAAATGACACAAATGAGTAATAGGACCAACATGTGTCCCAAAGTTTATTTAGATCCCATGGGTGGAAGGAAAGAAGTGGTTCAAAGTCTAGAGAAGAAACTGAAAATAAATCAAAAACAAAATATTATGAACACCTCACGATTTGGCGGTGAGGAAAATAAACTCATCGGACTATCGGGTGTTCATTAAGTGATGCACAGAAACAAGGCACTGTGTAGATCGATTAACTCACAAGATAGTTTGGTGATGGGTCAACATGAGCGTCAGCAGTTGTTGGTTGGACAACTAATAGAGGCAAAAGATTCTAGGAAATATTCATCTTTGAGTGACCCAACGGTCTGGAGAAAGACTACATTAGACCAATAGGCTTCATCTAGTGATGAATGGACAAGATGTGTACATTGTGTAGTTGTATACATCATATGAAGCATCAGATGCATGATGTCAGCGATAGGAGCAATGGCTAGTACTACTCACATGTGGTCCGATAATGGCAAAGATATGAACACCAAACCATCTGGTGAGTGCAACTTTTGTAGGCCTTTGCCAATGGATATATTTCACTGAAGGAGATATATATACCTCATAGTCTAGTCATTTGGGGTGGTGGAGTACCTTATTGAGACTACAGGAAACTAGTGCAAATGTTGGAATACTCCATCCACCATATGAGTGCTTGGTGATCATATACAAGGTTTGTAATATTTCTTAGGGATTTATTAGCATGTGATTGGTCTTTAGCTTGAGAGCTAGAGTGAAACAGGGTGCGTGCCTTTGTAATCTTGGTATATTGGAACACTTGGTATTACTCTAGCAA